AATGGAATTGTACACAAATATAGTTACGTCTTTCTGTGTATCTTAACAAATAAGATAGTAAATGTGCTCTTTTGAGTAAGGCATTTGTAGCCTGTCGTCAACATAAAGGTGTTCATTACAGAAAATACTCCAACGACATAGAAAGGCTCAGAAAGGATTATGTGCGAGTATCTTTCTAAGTTATCAATGCCTAAAAGGAAAGAAAATTTTTACTGTGCAATTTTCAGCGAGACAATCACAACCTTACATAATTCTAGAGTGGAATGGATTAACGAAACTTTTCATATATTTATAGAACTAAGGGTAATTCAAAAATGTGTTGCTCATTAGAAGCACTTTATTGCAAAAGGAAATAAGGAGTAGTGTTTATGTACGCATGATAAAAAGATGAATGAAATAACCACATTTATAGTAAGTTTATTTACCTGGTAGAAGAGGAAGCCGATGTTGGTGTTGATGTTGGTGCAGCGCTAGCAATGGCACATCCGGACAAAGTTGGAGCATTGGTTAAGGTAGAAGCCATTAAACGACAATGAGCTAACGAGTCAGAAAGAATGTCAGTAAGAAAGTGTTGAGCTGCGAGACTAACTAATCGAGCCAGTCTCGGGTCGCTTGACTCTAGGTGAACACCCGCAGCCTCAAGACAGGCGATGGAAAGTCGATCTGGGATCTAGAGTAAAATAGACGTTAAAATCTCCCGAATATCATTTTAGTCAATTTAGTTAGATAAATTTTAGGACTTGAACGATTGAAGGCGAGCAAAAAACACTAGCACTTGATTATTACTTAATAGTATATACGAAAACGGTGTGGTAGCATGAAGTAATTCGAGAGTACTCACACAATAAGACGACTAAGGATTGTGTGGTTAGTGTAAGCTTTCCAAGAATAGAAATAAAGCTTGTCAAGACAATCAAAATCGCACCTTATGCTCGACAGTTTGACAAGAATTTTCAATCACTGTTTCTCGGTCAAGTGGGTAAAAAATTTTTCTTGGATATTACTCGCATTTAATGATTAACATATCCAGGTCAAAGTAAAATTTGACGGATCCCGTTTTCGTAACCAAGTTTTATCTATCAAGATATTTAAGGAAAAAAAAGTTTCACTGTTGTATATATGTCTTATATCTTAGTATTATAGTTAATTTTATATACTATCAGGCACTTTGTCGACTCCATTGATGAGGATGACAAATAGAATGAAGCTAATTTGTCGCTTGGATATTATTTCTGTAATTTTCACAGATCTACTCACTGAAGATGCTGATTAATAGATAAAGAATAAATGACCCCATGCAATAGCATCAACAAAGAGGAGGGGAAATAGTCCTGTTATCAGTAGTCTAGTAAGCACGAATACCTTGAAACGATGAATAATAAAGTAAATTTAATAAATTTGTTCCTCTTGTGTACGCCCCATTCTGCTCTACATCCTGGTGTGCCATCATTCCTTATATAAAGAGCATTAAAGGTTAAAAAATAATTATATATATATATATATATATATATATTGCCTTATAAACTACTAAACGAGAGTAAAATAGTTGAATAAAGCAAAATAGGGGAAATACGACCCTATCCGGAGATCCACTTTTCAGAACCGCTTACCATTGGTTGTAGAGTGTCGAGTCGAGAGTAAAGGTCACCAAGAAGGGGATCTAAACCAGAATCCCTTCCAACGCCAGTCAGCCTAGTAGACTCGGACGAAGCGACAAGCGAGCCTGATATCCGTGAACTGGAAGCCGTGACACTAGGCATACCCGGGGCAGAATGGGAGAGTAGAGAAGCTTCGTGGCGACTAGGAAAGCCCAATGTCATACCTACAAGGTTATTCAGAAAAAAATGTTGGTGTCAAGTAGGAATAGTGTATAAAATATTTTCAATGAAAAAACTTTATTTTCCTACTGCAGAACTGTAAGAACAAACATATGCCAAACTTGTATAGCAGCATAAAAAAGTGTAAATAGTGATTTTCAAACGTTTATTTATAAGGTCTGGTTCTATCAAAAATTTGCTTTTGATAGGCTTAATAACAAATAAATGTCCTAGCTAGATAGAGCACAATTCAGAGGAAAGGTGTAAGATTTTATCCGCTGGTTTGGAATTGAACATTTGGTCAGAATAATCTTGGGACCCATTTTCATTCAAGGCTAGGCGGCCCCTAGCCCAAGCCCAAAGAGTATCAATTTGGCCTGAACGTGTGAGTCCACGAAGCCAAGGAGTGAGGTGCCCTGAGCAAGTGGGTTGTAGAATTGGAGAGTGAAGCTCAGAAGTAACAGCAGACCTAAAAAAAATGAAAATAAATCTTTGCCATAAGGAATTACTAATTAATTCAAACTAATAATACAAGTGAATAAAAACCATGTAAAAACATGTCATGCGTATTAATAGAGAGGCTTATGTTAGACTCGAAAATTTACAGAATAAAACTGAAAGACTAAGCCCACCTGCTGTTGCCTACCCAAGAAGTAATTTCATCTAGGCTAGCCCAAAGAACTTCGATAACTTCCTCAGGATTTGGTTGTAAGTGCTTAAAAGCTAAAGTCAAGAAAAATGCATTTAATAAAAGCAATGAGAAACAGAAAAAATAATAATTAATTGATGTAAAATTGATAGTGGTTATCGATATTTGATTTTTTCTGACAGCCTAGGATTTTATTAGCTTCTTTTAAGACATAAAATGGCCTATGTAATGATAATTAAATCTTAAAACTGATCCCTTACAGTGCCAGCATACAAAAGGAGTAAAAAATCCGATAGTTATACTTATCAATAAAAATCATCTGAATTCCGCGAGAGCAATAATCCAATAAAAGCGGAAAAAAATAAGTGTCTAAACTGTGATATTCCTAAATAGACATTAGATTAAGAACGAAATGCAACAAAAGAATGTACAACGAAAGGCAAGAATATGTACAGAATGAAGAACAAAATTCTTCGCTTGCATTGCCCAAGGCTGTGTCAAATTGATGTACAAGAAGGCACTCTTAAACCTGCATAAAATTATATTACATTCTTTAATAAATAAGCCTAATCCATCCTAATTCTGACGATGAGCCGAAGAAGCCTTAAACATTCTAATTAGACATTAGATTACAGACCATACAGCACTAATGAAGATGAGCGTCCGATTTGGCCGCATTTATCCTTTTGAGTCAAG